CTCATAGTCAGGTTATTTTTGACAAGATTTAATTAATATGAAATGTTTACACTAGTTGATGACAATATTTATGTGTAATTTACTAGAAGTTTTCAAAACAAAAATTGTGATTTTGTTGTATTAATATTGTGATGATAAAATGAGAGAGCTTCCAGTGACAATGAAGTACGAACAGAGGAATTATGCATTTCCTGTTTGGGCTGCTTACCTGGTAAGAGTTACACTTTCATTATTTTAAGCTACATGTAGGTGATGTTCTTGACTTTGTAAAAAGTTAAAAAGGGATATATAGTCCTGGCATAAAATGACTTATTTGGTAAATTTTTAGTTTCCTTAGCTTTCCATGTAAATTTTAAGATCACTGGCGATGTCATTCTTGACTCTTCTCCAGTAACACAAAGTGAGAAGTTTAACTTCTAAAATAAGGTTACTTATCGGGCGTGGGTTCGATCCCCGGGAGATGCTTTGGTAGTTTAGCACAGAGGAAGGTATAGTCTAGTACTGGTGTAGCTCTCCAGGAACAATGGTTAGGAAACTACCCGCCTATATGACTGAAATACTGTTGGGAAAAGGCATAAAAATGAAACAAACAAAATTATCTGGTAAAAGTTATACTTTCCAACATGAAGATATTTCAGTTACAAAGTGAGAATTTATTCTTCTAGAATCAGGTTACTTAACTGTTAAAAGTATCTTCTCACTTCAAGGTAGTCAAATGTAGTGCCAAGTTTTTTTTTCTTATTACAAAGTGAGAATTTATACTTCTTAAATTAGGTTACTGCCTTAAGTTACAGTTTTCTATTTTATTAGGGTGTCAGTCTCCAAGTATTTTGACCGAATAAGATGGAAACAAATCTAGTAATAATTGGACTTAGTTTAGTGAGCGAATTTAAGTTAAATGGGCTTAGGTATTTAAATTGAATGAAGAGAGAAATAATGGCAACAAGTTCAGAATTAGTTTTTGATTCATTACCCCACAGTGAAGCATCTGATTCTAGCTACTGCATGTTGTAAAAGTTAAATTAAATGCTAAAGTTCAAATTCTGTGAAATCTAAAAGAATAGGGTTAATGCTACGGAACAAAGCAGTTTGAATTGTATATTGCTGATGTTTTAAACAGTATATATTTAATCATTGAAAATCATGTTTTATGGTGATTTAAATGTTTTAAAATTGGTACATGTTAATAAATTTACTTAGTTGTTTTGATTCTATGATTCTCATTAATGTCTAAACATTGAAAAAACATATTATGGTTATTTTTAAAGCTATTCTCATTTTTTTATTAATATATATATAAACAAGCTTATTGAGATTTAAGGGTCTTGCTTAAAATTCTGAAAAATGTCGAGAACTAAATGTTTCTATTCTATTTTACCTAATGTATCCTTTTCAAAATGATTCCTTTACTTTAAAATACATTCTTTGTTGTAAAAAATGTTTTCCCATCTTCAAATGAAAATTATTTTAAAATTGTTACCAATTTGTTAAGTCTTGATTGAATTAAGCTTATATGCTGTGTGTTATATTTAATTCTCAGTTAAGTTGTCACTTCTAACTAAAAAAATAGAAACAATAATTACATGATTTTATAAGGGTTAAACTGAAAATTTTAAAGAGTGGATCAGAACTATAGTTTCATTAATGATTTAACTGATAATTGTGTCTGAGTCATTAAACTTCAAAGGCAGATGAATTAATTGGAATCCAATTAATTTTGAAGTACAGGTGTATTTGCTTTTTATGTTAGTGATTGATTAAATGATAGGAGGAGCCCAGGAATCAGATAACAGATTATCTTTACATTGTTATAACTATAATAAAAACTAAAACATGTTAGCATGTACTGAATGTCTGTCATTATTGAAGTTTATAATACAGAACACTGATATTTTATTATTAAATTTCTTCCACTTTATGATATTATCCTTTTTCCTGGTAAATGTGTGTAATTGATTTGCCCAGCCGTGCTTTGAATTTTGAGGAGATGACAATATCAAAAAAAAAAAAAAATGTGAGCAACTACATACATTGTATTTAAGAGTTATCATAAGGCCTGGTCAGACTACACACATATAGTGATATGTGATGCACTTAAAGTTCCAGCACTGGTTAACTGGTTAAACAGCTGGAACTTGAAATATACAAGTTTAGTAAATGTACAAATTTTGATTATTGTGCAGATTTTTTATAGCATAACAATACCATGTAATTGTGCAGAACTGTTATTTAGTGAACACTGCTGATTTTGTGACAGTTACTTAAATATATGTATATGTTTATCGTCTGTTGAGAAAGAATTCACATGTGATAATATTTAAACACATTTGTACTAAGGACCAAGTTTGAACCTCATATTGTAATAGTTTGAAGATGAAATGTTCCCACCATGCTATATGTTGCCCCGTATAAGCAAATTTAAAAGATGAATTTTCCCCTTAGAAAATTTGAGTTGAAATCCCATTGGAGGTTTAAAGTGGAATCCCATTAGGGTAATCAAATGGGATCCAACCAATACCTAATGGGAATTTTGGTATATATTTTCTCTAGAAGCCCATATATTAAAGTCAGATACATTCGATACTACATTGATATATGAATTTATATTGAAACAACAAAGACTGTTTCACATCTGAGAATGTGTTCCCATAGACTGTCTTAATGACAATGATATATTACATATTTATTGCAGACAAACTTTTCCACTTCAGAAATTGTCAGCTAAAACTTTTCTTACTGGTGATGACCCTGAAATAATGATAGGCTGATAGATTTTTCTGTGGGTGTTTCAATGAGTTAAATGAATCATATCTAATTTGTTTCATGAATTCTTGTAATGAACAGTTGATTCATCATACATGCTTAACTATGTTTACATATTTTCTGGCTTGAAATTGATTATTTTCTTCAAATATTGACTTCACATTGTTGTTCATACCATGTTTGAAAAAAAAAGTAATCACAGAATTCTGTTTAATCAGCAAAGCATCAAATTAAGTAGATAATTAAAGTTTTATACAGAAAATCAATGTAACATTTCATGCATATTTGATAACACTCTTTTTTCCTCGATAAATAAAAGCTTGGGATGGTGTTTCATGTACAATTGATCTACATTGGTGAGCATACTGGTATTACTATGTTTAGGAAAGAAATATTTCTAACGGACAGGATTGAATTTAATTTATAAGCTATCACCTACAATTTAGCATGTGCTTAAACTAGTGAATCTGAACAAAAAGTTATATATCAATTCAAAAGAAGAGGGATTTAGATTTTCACCCTGGTCCGCCATGAATTGTTAACGTGTGAAGACAAATTTAAATGTTTCTCTTCTTAAACTTGATATTTTGTTGTCCAAGTTCCTTTAGACTTATTCTGACACTTTTGATGTCATGGCATTTAGATAATATTATGGTTCACTGTGTGCTTAAATTTGAAGTTTTACTATAATATTTGTACAGTTTTATAGTGCTATTCTTAACTGAGCATTTCCTGCAGTCATAATTTTTTGCTCCAACTTTAATTCACTATATTTTTTGATAAATTGTTTTAACATTGAATGTCACTTTAAGACTAAAGGTAATAACTCTGTAATGTACTTTGTCATACACTTTAACCTTTTTTAACTTAGAATTTATAAGAAACTGTTCTTAATCCACAAATAAGTGTAGCTTATCAAGACTTTCGAATTAACTAATCTAGCATTTTAATTTTTTCATATTTGATGTAAAATTCTTGACTTGGTGCAAAATACTAAAATTGTTCATAGTACTAGCAGTGTATGAATCATAACATAAGCAATGTCATTAAATGAGAAAAATCCTCATCAGAGTTTGGTTCAAAAGTTCATACTTGAATAAATGAAAGATATACTAAATGTTTCAGCATTCTGACAATCAGGAGATGGAGATTGTATGGATTTGTTTGGTTCCTGATACTGTCACATGGGAAAACTTAGACAGATTACTTGTCAAGTTTTACAGAATTGTCATCTGATTAAAATTGATGCCCTGATACTTTTTACATAGATTAATATCATGCTGATTTCTATAGGCATTTTCTAAATGAAGAATCACACACAGACTCACACAAGTCCCTTTGCGACAGAAGAATTTCAATGTCTAGTAGATTGAATATGTTATATCGGGACAAGATTCTGCGTATAATAAAAGAGGCAGTTTTAATTGGATTGATTCAAACAAGACAAAACATTATATTGATTTGCATTAGGTTTAAATTAGAATATCATTCAGTATTAAAGAAGGCATTGCCATGTAGCAAATGCATAAAGAAGTGAAAACTTACTTTTCTGTGCACATGTATATTCTTTGTTATAAATATTTTTGATAGGTTGTATGGACCTATATTAATGCTTGTTTGTATTTATTACCTGATCATTGCTAACAAATTTATAATACAGCAAACTTCCTTTTCTTGCAAAAAAATGAAATAACTTCGTATGTTGGGTTGCTAAAAATATATCAATCATGTAAATAAATAAATGTTAATTATATCAGCTTTAAAAGAGACAGCTAGTGTTGACAAATCACTTGATACTATAGTATGGAATGAAAAGTGTTTAATTACTTTCAAATTAATATGCCGATTTAATGTGAATAACACTGATAATTGTTTTAATTGATATTTATCTTATGAGTAAGTTTATATGGTATATTTGATTGAATTTATACCAAACTTTACAATTCAGTCATGTTAATTAAAACTATATTTGCCATGGGGAGCTGTACTTGTCTCCATATATATGTTTACTCTTTTTCTGAGTGTTTTATATCATAGCATTTTATAACTAGTAAAGAAATCAACACAGGGTTGTAATTATAGTATTTGAAAAGTTTAGTTTCAGTTGGTGTATAGATAATTCATGGTGTATTGAACAAAGAACAAAATACAACCATTGTACAACCATTTTACATTTAAAGATTCCTTATCAGTTTAATGAAATCATATTGAAAGTGAGTATTCCTGTATATTTTTAGGCAAGACGCAATGACAGGGAAGAAATTAGGAAAAAGCTTGCAATGGGTGGAGAAGATGGCCTTGACGATGATGACGATGATGATGATGAAATAACATATAAAAAGCCAAACATTCAGTCAAGATTACAAAGTGGACTACAGGTGAATGTCTTATCAATTTTGTTCAGCAGTATGCCTTGTTTCATGAACATTGCAAAACAGTGACAGACCATAAATGTTTAGGATAAGGAGTAGAAACTGTCCAAAATGAAAACATGCTTTTTTAATCAAATGAGTATAACCTATAAATTACAAACTTTAGGAAAATTATAGAAAATTCCTTACATCATGTGAAGATGTTGGGAAATGAATATGAAATTGAAAGCTATCATGGCAATATTCAAAGTTATTTTTACTCCTGGATGGGCATATTGTAGTGCTGAACTAGAAATGTGTCCATAGATAACGGTGCCCCCACTGTTTTGTCAATCTTATGGCTCTCAATCAAATATTTTTGGGCTACATGTGCCACAAGTTGAAAACTAAAAATCTTTTACTAAGTAAAGGGCAAGAACTTTACAAATACTAAATAAATCCACATGTGAACTCCAAGGTGCATAAGTACACAAATGTCATGCTGACCAACATTCTTGTAAACTTTCAGACCTACAGGTCAAATACTTTTTGAGCTATGCATGAACAAGTTGAAAATTGCAAAGTTATACGAAGTCAAGGGCAATAACCCTAACAAAACTGAAAAAATCCACATGCAGAATCCCAGGTGCATAACAAATCACAGTGATGTTGATCATTAATTCTATAAAGTTGGTTGATTCTAACTCAAGCACTCGAAGACAAATAATACATAATGAAACAGTTTTTACTAAGTCAAGGGCAATAACTCTTCAAATACTGGATAAGTCCACAAGCAAAACCCAAGGTGCACATCTACACTTGCTGACCAATATTCCTGTTAAGTTCCATGACTCTAGGTTAAATACATTTTGAGCTATGCATGACACAAGTTGAATATTGCAAATTTTTACTAAGTCAAGGGCAATAACTCTAACAAAACAGAATAAATTAACAAGCGAAACCCCAGGTGCACAACTACACATGCTGATCAACATTCCTGTCAAGTTTCATGACTAGATCAAATACTTTTTGAGCTAGGTGCGACACAAAATGAGAACAGATAAAGTGGGGGAACAAAAATAAAATAAAAGTATATGCATATATCAGCAAATAGAATTATATATAAATTAAAATTCAAATTTGTTCTTTTTTGGATTATTACCATAAACTTATTTGAAAAAGAATCGCTAGTCATGAGGTAGTAGTTTGTAAATTGTTTTTGATAATTCTGAATTGTCGTAATAACATGAAAAAACACTTGAAAAAATATTTTATTAACTCATATGAAATATTCAAAGTGCTTTTTATCAATTCTCTCTCGTGACCTAAATCTTCTCAGAACTGTGACACGAACAAAAAATAGAAAAAGTAGCGCGAAATTCTAAAGGCATTGTTATATAAACGTCTCGGACGAATAAAAACGATGAATTAAAAGACCAATGAAAAACTGCTTTACAATAGAAAGGTTAAATATATACCAAAAGAAAGCTATTAAAATAGTCCCATTATATGAAAAAAGTAAAAGTTGAAAAATTACATCATTTAACTTTATCAATGATTTTTCTTGACTTTCAATTTTAGAAGTTTACCAAAAAAGATTCTAAGAATAACTTCTATTTACCATTTCATCTTTTTGTTAAATGTCTTGACCATAAATAATTGAAGAAAATCTATGACAAAAAGTTGTTGTATTAACCTCTAATGGATTGTTCAGCTTTCCTCAAGGTGGATGTCATATTTGATTAAGTGTAATTTTTAAATTTTTATATTAAATCAGAAAATTGAGAAAACATGAAGTTGTTTCATAATATGATGATAATGGGAAATCAAATTAAACAGTAATATGAGTTTTAAATGAAACCCAGCTTGATTATTAAAAACCAATGTAAGAAAACTATATTACAATGAACATCTATTAAAAGATACAATATTAGACATAAGAAGGGGTACATAAAATGTTTCACTTAATAGTTCAGCATTACTTTTCACTATTTTTGCATTATTTTAATAAATAAGATGAATTTGTTTTAGCTTATGTCAGTGGCAATCTTGCTGTTTTTAATGCTTCCAAGGGATTACTTTTTCCAGATATTTATTGTCTCAACATTGTGACAATTTATCTTGTATATAACAATATGATGTTATATTCTTTATATAGATATGTTTTATGAATGAGTCACCAGGTGACACTGACAACGAAGGGCTGTCTCCAAGGCAACATGAAATCCATGACAATGTGAAACTCATGAAGAAAGTCAGTAACCTTGTTGATTCGGATGTAAGTATATGTCATTTAACTTTAGTTCCAGTAAGTGTCACTTTAGCCTTTCATGTAAGAACATATCCTGAATTTTGGCTGAGACTTACTAAAGCCATCTAGGAAGGAACAAGAAGCTCTCATCACTAAGTTGTGCTGTATCTGGTTTCCCTAACAATTTGTTCTACATTTTATAAATGCACATACTTTTGCTTGACAAAAAGATTTTTTTCTCATTCATTCAAAAGAAGCTAGTTAAAAATAGCTTGTAACCAAAGCCCTATCTCTGATCTTAATTTAATTTTATTCAGTTAAAATTAACATCACTAAAATGCCAAATTTAATTGCATTGGGCAAAAAAATACTATACTAGGAAAAAAGTACATTGTGCTGGTTGATATGTAATTATTTTGTAGTTTCCATTGAATGTGACATGTGAATAATCCAGTTGTACAGTACCCAAGCAATTGAATTTTATTTTAAGCATGATCAAGTTCTCTCGCACATAATTGAATTTATTGAAGTTAGATGAAAATTGTTTAAACAGACAGCTATTCTGTCAGCAGAAATAAAATTATAATCTAGGTCACTGTGTACTGTTAAAAACTTGGCTACTTGTAATTTTTTACATTCAAAACCACATGCTTGTCAGGATAAATCTGATTTTCATCAAAAATCTTTCCTTGCTCATTCATTGATTTTAACATATAACTTACAATTGTTATTCAACCTTATTTTATATGAAGATAAGAAAAGAGAAGTTGCTGACCATCTTTAGGAATTACAACTCATCTGAATCCTTATTTTTATATTTTATTCCATTTTTCATTAAATAATTCCTTATTGTCTTCTGTATGCTAGAAATAGTCTAAGGTTGTTAGTAACCCCATGGACAATGTGTTTGTATTGCAGTTGACCTGTAATGTCCATATTGATGTGTAAAATTGCTTAAAATAATGTAAATGAATATATGGATACAAAGCCGAGTAAATTGCCTTCCGTTTCCACCAGTTTGCTTTGCTCCTGTTTTTTGCATAAAATAGAGAATTAAGATTTAACCATGTTGAGTACACCTTTTGCTTTAAACAAAAAGTTGAATTTGAAGAAACTCGCTCTTCCCATGATTAAACTTGTCAATTTTGTTTGCTTTTTGAGATTGGGGAAGAATATCATTTTGGAAATTAATTTCCTGTGAAGCGCTGATAGGACAACCTTGTTAATGTTAAATGGTTAGTTTCTGTTCTCTGAAAGATCAATTTAATTTTTTTTGGTGTGGAATATTTAGAAACTGCAATAATAATAAATACAATGTATTACTTTTTTGTTCCAGAATAATTTGAGTACTGTAACTGATTTAAATAACCCTACCCAACCAACAACGTCTATACAGAGGTCAAGTCCACCAAGATTAAAACCTGGTGATAAAAAAGAAAAGAGTGAAGACTTTCATTCCAGACAAGAGCAACTACAAAATGAGGCTAAAATGGCTCTTGCACAGGTTTGTTTATTTCACTCCAACAAAAGAGGAAAGAAGTGTCATTTGATGATTTATGAATCACAGTAGATTGTTTCTTGTCTTGCCTGATAGGATGCCTATTTATAAGTACTTAAGTAACACAGTATGTACCCTTTAAAGTGAAATCTTCCTTGACAAGATCGGGAGATCCCATGAAATATCAAAGCATCAAATGAAATATTACAATAAATCTTTCTGTGAAGATGTCAAAATTAAGGTCATTTCCTTTCCACATGTTAATGTCTTTTAACTTCTTTGTTCTATAAAATGTAGGCTAAGAATAATGTTATTTCCTCAAACAATGGATCTTGTGTAGATAGCAAATCTGATCATGTAAAGCCATATACGATGTGATCAACTGATCCTGATCTATTATTTAGTTTTGCTTTGATTGCCAATGTAAAACATAGTTTATTCAAAAGGCAAGCAATTAAGAAAATCATATTTTCATTTGAACTATTCTATTAAGTTAAGTTGGTCAAATGTCGCTTATTGTCCATTCTTAATCTCAAAGTTTGCACTGTTTTTCCCAGTGTTTGGCACTGTACACTTACAAAGGGGATTTTACACCCATAGGTTAATCATTTTGTTTACCTTACCGAGTCCATGTGTACATAATTACAGTTATACAAGAAAGTATATCAGGAGTAGTGGCATTACATACAAACTTACAGGCAATTATATTGGATCAACAGCGACATTACAAATCTGGGTCTAGACTTTAACTTCTGAAAATCAATGTTGGTTTATACACGATACAAATTTTGTTGTGAGAAAAAAAATTTAAATTAAGTTATCAATTTTTTTCCCCTGGCTGTCAGTATAACTTTCTTATATAGTTTTTTCTTTAGTGAATGAAATCTCATTCGTATCTCCAAATTGACACTTTAATAAAAAAAACAACAACAATAAAACCTTTATGTTTATTGGTAACGTGTTGTCAGGTTGTTTTTAAACTAGAAATGGTGTGATTGATCTCATGTTCTAGTGCATAAAATGCTATATGACAATTTTGTACATTTTCTTTAATAATGTAATTATTTATCTGTATAGTTAATTTTGACTTCAAAACTTCCCATGTGTAATCGAAAGACATTATATGATATTAAAATATTTTAGAAAAAAATCTACACAGGCTTCTTTCAGATCTGGGTGAAAAGTATTGAAATTTGTAAAAGGCACATGGTTTAAATATTTAGGCTTTAGCTGTTATTTATTTCTTATAAAAGTTTTCTGTACATTATTTTTAATCAAAAGTTAATTACAAAAATACTTAAATGATCACACCAATCTTGTTTCTGCACATATTTTCTTAACGTATTCTGAAACAATAATTTAGATGTGTAAAGGTAATTGTATTTCTAATACAGGCTGGATCTATGGCACATATGCAATTGGAAATTGAGAAGCAGTTAAAGAAGAAATCTCCAATGGCTGAAATGGTAAATTTGTGATATTATTTTACTGAAAACCTTTATTTACATATCTTGGAGTTTATTTCAAAAGGCTACCTTAAATATAACCTTGAATATTTGACAGTATTAGCAATGGTACTTTAAGATAATGGTCTGATTTGGAGGAACAAAACAAGTGAAAGGGGAAATATGTATGTACATTTTTCATACAAAAATCTGGAAAGGAGTGATCCTTTAGAAGCAACAGAAACAATAATATTAAATAAAAATTGCAGAACATAAAACAGCACAATATGATTTGCTATAAAGCACATATATACACAGTTTTTCATCAATTTAGTTACTTTATATCAAGTTTCCTATTCTATATAAGCAAAAGAAACATAACAATATTCATCGATTATGGAATTCATATTGTATGCCATTTCAATATATTCAACTTTATATTTGTTAACGTACGTTGTTGTAACCGCCTCCGTGGTTGAGGGGTTAGAGTCAATTACTTCTAATCCAGTTACCTCTCTGGCGTGGGTTCGATCCCCAGGAGATGTTTTGGTAGTTTAGCATGGAGGAAGGTAGTCTAGTACTGGTGTAACTCTCCGGGAACGATGGTTAGGAAACTACCCGCCTATATGACTGAAATACTGTTGGGAAAAGGCGTAAAATGAAACAAACAAACAAACAACTTATGTTGATTTTATTCGTTATTTACAAGAAAAAAATTGGTATCTTTTTTCAATTTTGTTCAGGATATGCATTCTTTTGAAAACTGAAAATTATTTACAACACTCATTAAGTTATACAAGCACAAGAGCCTACATGCTGTTTAAATATGTATGGAAGGTCTTTAAACACTCTACATTGCTAATGCATTATTTAACTTCAACTTCAAATAACACCAGACTCATTATTACATAAACAAAAAAAAAGCAGTTGAGAAATAGAATCTCCCGTGTAACTAAGTACACATTCGAACCAACGCTTTTTTTCTTTTAACCCAGCGTATGGTAAAACGAAGTAGTAGATTGCTGTGAGTCATGTCAGTTCACATTAGAAGTAAATTATTGATTATTGTTGGTGAATGCAACAAGACAATACTGTATTGATATATCAGCCGTAATTATTGTAATATACTGGGTCAGACAGAGAGGAGAACATTCTCATCCACACAAAGCAAATATGTCAAGTTCAGTGTAAAAATGTTTTATCTGAAATAATGTAGCGAAACTTTGACTTAGTCGATGAACTAACTTCCAAATGTTCAGTTGAATTCTCTTCATTTTGTGTTTGTCACTAAAGTTATTTAATCATCTTTTACTTTTACTTGGATTTTCGTATTTATAAGTATTAATCTAGACCACAAAATGTTAAACATGCTGGTTTCAATTTTGAAAATGTTTAGTGTATATTTGGTATTCTTAATGCAGTTTTAATGTCAGTAGCATCAGTGCACTGTTTTCTTAACATTAGTCAACTGATATACACATATAATCATAATCAAAACAGATATGCTATGTAACCAGCTTTAGTTACTGTGATTTTTTTTATGTTTTTTTTTCCAATGTTATTAATGATTCTCATGAAACAACAGATCATGTATGCTGAAATAACACTATATTTTATCTGGAACAATATATAATAATGTTTCACATATAATTTGACTCCTTAATTGATATTGTAATATTATTAAATTAAATTTGTTATTAATAGGTTGGAATTCCAGGCCTTGGTGAGAAACATAGGAAGAAACTTAGTTTAAGACAACTACAACAGATGAATTTGGCTTCCATTCAAGTCTTGTATAACGATTTACAAACACAAATTGAAAGTAAGTATAACAGAGTTTAAAGGGAGACATTCGTGTGTAAAGTTTATGTGTCTGTCTAGCATTTTTACGAATTACTTCAAGAAAATTTATATGTAAAACCGGCATTACAGCAATTTAAAGAAAAACGACCATCTGTTTGTATACAGTACTTTAACATACTTATTGACAATTCTTCGTTGTAACTGGAATATTGTGAAGTTTTAATGTTTTGCATTTAGCAGAAGTTATCATATAAGAACATTTTGTACTAAGTGATATTAGCTGGAGTTAGAATCCCCATCCAACATTCCTTTGATCAAAACAACTTTTTTTACGTTTTTGAATGATACATTTGTGCATCATTCTTAGAAAATATATTTTTTTGTTAATTTGATGATTTGTCATTGAATCAAAATATTTTTTTTCAAGTTTTTGGATAATAAACTTTTGTATCAGTTTCGTCAATGTGTACTTAAAAGGTATATTTTGTGTTAACTTTTACGATTTATGGTCCTTTTTATATGAGCACTACATACTGGTCTTAATAAATGTTTTGACAGGTTTCTAGTATGTCTGATCTGTTTCTATATGAAGTTTTGAGTTAGGAAAACAACATTTCAATGTTAAAATGTCAATAATTTATTTGTAAATAATGTCCTAGCCTAAATTTTTTGTAACATATTCAAATATTCTACAACTTCAATATTAGATGATATTTATAAATCTTGTAATATTTTCAGGTTTAAATGAGGAACTCGTACATCTGCTTATGGAGAGAGACGAGTTACACATGGCCCAGGATTCAATGCTGGTTGATATAGAAGATTTAACAAGGTTAGTCAAGTATTTTTTTCTTCCACCAACGAAGATGTGGCAATAATTTATAATAACAAATATGCAGGATGTTAGATAGATATTGAAATGTTCATCAACTCAAATTATGATTTTATTTTGGTTGAATTTTAAGCTCCACTAACACTGTAAATGTCATGTATATGTACACATTCAGTTTGATATTGCTCGGGAAATCGATTTAAATAATGTTCTAGATTTTATCAAATTGCAAACAATATGTTTTTAAGGTTAAGCTTTAGAATTGCCTTATTTCACCATACTTGTTACATGTGAACAAGTTAATTTAACATTGTTCCTTTATTTATTCTGATGCATATGAACTTTGCCATTACTTGTCCGTCTGATTGTCCAGAACAAATTGAATGAGATTTGCCTGTTCAATCAGTCTTTTTTGAAAATCTGTATTCAAACGCTATCTATCTTGCATCACATTGATCACTATTGAGCTTTTTATAAAGCTGAATTTTATCATTACATGGTGATTTGATTTTATTGTTACATATTTTAGGAGAGCGGAAGAGTTAGCAGAGCGTGCCAATCGAACTGGAGGGAATAAAGGAAACAAGACAACTAGTGTTAAAGGAAAGCTCCCAGCAAGATAGCATATTATATAACTATTAAATATCAAAAAAACTAACATAGGCTGTGTTATATAGAACAACACAAGACTGGACGGAAGTTGTCACATGCAAAACCCATGCAAAAGCATTATGACAGTTACGATGAGTAGACTCGCAAATTATTCTAATAGAACATATAGAAATGTCATTAGGAAGTAACATAAATGTAAGGACTATGTTGTGTTGTACAAGAAAGTGATTTAAAATTTAAAAAGCATAAAACAATACATACACTATGAAATTTACAATGTACATGTTGAAGTGATCATATGTATGGATATACATGTTTAGCTGAATAATTATAATCTGGCAACTTACAAAATGATTACGGAAAGAAAAGATTGTTTTATGTTTAGTGGTTTTAAACCAGTTGATAACTAGGTGTTGAGACATTCCGTAATTAATGGAATAAAGATCTGTGTCATGTGTCCTTTTTCTCTAACAATATATATGTCGTGTAATGCCATTTAGTTGACTTCTTGTCTGTTAATTAGTGTTAACATGTATTCTTAAGAAACAAGTAATACTTTTCTATTGATAAGGGTTTTTCCATCTTGTAAAGGACTTTAATTTGGATTTTTCATGGCTTTTAGTTTTAATCTGAATATGGCAATTTTTTAAAAGAAAAAGCTAACAAGCTATATTAAGTAACCGTCACCTGGTATCCGTCAACAAAGTGTTATCTGAATTTCCTCACATAAATCTGGCTTGAGACTTAATGAAGTGAATAACTTATACTAATTTGTGATTGCATAATGTGTGGGTCTCACAACACACATTTAATTAACAATGAGCAGGAAGCAATTTCACTTTGTGGCTTACATTTAATATATTAACTAATATTTACCAAAATAATTAAACTAATTGTGTTTTTGTTATCACTTTGAGGCATATTCATTTAAACTTATCATGTCATATTATACAAGAGATAGTTCTAACAACAAGTATATAAGGTTTTTTCGACCAAATTGTTAAAACAGAATAAGCATCAATTATTTATATTCCCTTTGAATTTCAATAAATGTAGTATATGAAGAAAGTTTTTATTAATTAATGTGTATTTCATTGATTCATATATGATATACCTGTATAAGTGTTCATGCAAATTTGATAATGAAAAAACCTTGAATATTAATTTACTTGTTTATTATTGTTACCGTATTGTTGGGAGTCAAAAAAGCAGTTATAAATTTGATAATATCATTTTGTTGTTTCATTTGTAGCGCTATTTACAATTTATGACTTGAATCAATAGATGAAAATAATCAGATACATTAAGAATGAGAGTTTTGGTGTTTGTAAATAAAAATGTAAACAATGTTTCATAATTTTGCTTAGTATATGTATTGTAATGTACCTTTTGTTAACTGGCACATATTTTTAACTTGTTTTCATGCTAATTCAACATAAATCATTAAAAATGAGATAAATAAAAATATAAATGCTCAAACTTTTGTTTTCATACACTTAACCATACAAAATATTTTTGTGTGCATCGAATATATCCAAACATTTGATTTTACTTAGTATGCCTCACGTATCTTTTAATAAATGGATTGCCATGTCGGATAGAAATGAAAGGTCTTTTTGTGATTGCTTTAATGTCGCCCTGAAGTGATTGCTTCGCCCTGAAGTGATTGCTCCGCCCTGAAGTGATTGCTCCGCCCTGAAGTCTTCACCGCTTCTACACAACTTGGATAAATGTAAAATATGTGAAAAATATTGAGCGAAAATACAGTTCATCTTGACAAGTACATTTCAAAATAAAAATTCACATTTTTTGCTTGTGAGTTTTTTTTCATGAAATATGACAGGCAGGAGGGGTAATGTTCATTAACTGTCACCTTTGAAGAAAATTGTTCAGTGACATATAATGAATAATTTAATATAAAGGAATAATATTCTGTCGCCATCTTCCGGGTACGAATTATTTAGACTGATGTAAAAACAACAACATCGTTATCCATGAGTAACACTCGAATGTTATGTAGTGTTTGTATAACCTGAAATTAATAAATTAAAATACTTAAATGAATTTTATTAACAAATTTGTGTACATAATAATTACTTGCACTGTAGAAGCGTTTTAAAAGCACACGTGTGACCCTATTCGATATTGACTCCCTGCTGGTGTGATAGTGTGCTGAGTGCTAAATTTTATTACAAAAAATAGATTAGAATAGGGAAGTGGGCGAAAGTGAATGGTGATTGAACTTGCAGATAATTGGCAGTTCAATATGAATGTCACATTCCCAACTTTTATCAGAACGCTTAGAGACATACTTTCCTGACACGATTCCTTTTGTATTGTTAAGTGGCATATATGGAGTTGAAGCGTAGCTATTGTGTGACATTTGTTTGCATTTTACTACCTTTTCTGACATATTTGATTTACCCATAATTATAATGTTATAAGACACATATATAGAAATTGACCTAGTATCACATTTTTTGCAATCACGACATCAAAAGTCTAAGAAAAAAATACCAGTAAGTATTTTAATATTGGAAATAATTTTGCAAACTATCGAGTATGTTGTAGAAGAAATTGATCTTTTTTCACAAGATTTAATTACAATGTATTTAAATTCTTACACTACCAGGAGTAATGTAGTGACATATGTAGATATATATTTGAACAAATATACATGTCTTTTTCTATCGAGTTCATCACACCCTGTAGAGATTAATTTGTTTGTGAATAGGAGATCAAAAAGAAAAATGAACATTCTACAAATGGGCAACATGTCTGACAGTGTCTGCACGAAAAGGAGCAGTCAGTTGTTGAAATGTCAAGCGTTGCATGCCAAACGAGATTTAACATTACCCGCTCTAAAACGAGCTACACTACAAAAAGATTTAGTCAGTCATATATTATTTATATTCAAACAATAATCTGCATTTTTAATTTATAAATAATTTACTAATTTATTCAAAATTAGGTCAGGACAGTTAAATGTCTTTCCATGTATATACTTACAAACCAACAGTGCAGCAGTTATTGCATTATGATTTTTAATTACTTTAGAAAAATTTAATTAAAATATCATCAAGTAGTTCACGTCAGTTATAGTCCGCTAGTTCTCATGATCATTAAATAATATCAACCAAGACAGTAATCAAAGGTTAAATTTGGCTTCATGTTTTTCACAAGGGTAAACTGTGCCAGATTAAGTGTATATTTGCATAGTTTATATGTATAGCATTGAACAATTAACGTGAATTCTATAACCATTTCTTACATGAAAAATTGCATTTTTGACTGTGTTAGAATTCACACTGTTAATTTACAACTTGAGTAAACAGAAACAATAATTGATAATGGAGGAACCCCGTGACGTTACCGTGTAATAAGGAATAACATTTTGTATAATGATTTAAAAAAAAATTTTTCTTCATCTGAAATGTAAAATATTTGCAAAATACTGAGAGAGAACATTGTATATCTTTACAAATGCATTTGAAATAAAATATTTACAGTTCTCTTTATTCTTGTGTGTTCCATAACTACAAGGATAGGTCAATATGTAATAAAATATGGTCAGTAACGTTAACAACGAACAAATATTCTACAGTTATCTAATTTAACTCTTCGGAAAAATTTCTTGCAGAAATACAAAGTCTCAGACGTTTAATCCAATTTTTTAATGTTTCAACATAGTTTTCCTTGGGTGGTATTTTCAGTAACTGAAAAATTGCCGTCCCTATTCAATTTCTACCTTGTAGTGTTGACCTGCAAGATGTTTTGTCAGTCTAGTCTAGGAAAGAGGAAAAAGTCACCAGGTGCCAAGTCAGAAGAATACGGTGGATGTTTAACCTTTTCCCTTATATAAGCGTGTTTCGACGGCTTTTTGACCCCCCCCTTTTTCAGGCCTCAAACAGTGAAAAAATGCCCTATTTAGGCCCCAAACACTGTTTTTCGTTTGAGAAATGTTGTTAAAAAAATTGACCATTTTTTCGGCGCCGTCCCCATTCCAAATATTACATCAAGGGGTTGCCAGAAGGGGGATGTGCCCCCTTCTGTTTGGGGGGTTTGAAGGGGGGCGGAGTCCTCCTCATCGCCAAGAAAATTTTGTACTTGTGAGAGGCTTTAAATGACCCCAGGTCGATCATAAGATAACGTGTAACCAACGCTGAAAAGCCTTTGACTCTATCTCAATCCCTTGAGAAGTTGCAGCACTTTGAAATAAATTTTGATGGAAAAAATCGAGGCAAAAAAGTGATTTTTGGCAATTTTGAGATGTCCCCTCGTTGCCATGGTAACAGGAAATTTAAGACTGAGCATGTCGTTACAAAGGCAATGGTCCAGTCAACATTTGTGCCAAGTTTGATTAGTATTGAAGCATTTTTTCATAGTTTCATAGCAGTTTGAACTTGTGAGAGGAGGCTTTTCAGTGAAAATGGCCATTTTTCACAATATGCTCATGGGGGAAAGGGTTAACTAAAAAAATTATAAATGTTACAAAACAATGATTTTTCACCAAAATTAAGTAAAAGACCAAATGTTAACATGGAAAAACTAGATTTTGGGTGGTTCCAAGGTTTTTCATCATTTTTTGTTAACCTTTTCCCTTATATAAGCGTGTTTCGACGGCTTTTTGACCCCCCCCCCTTTTTCAGGCCTCAAACAGTGAAAAAATGCCCTATTTAGGCACCAAACACTGTTTTTCGTTTGAGAAATGTTGTGAAAAAAATTGACCATTTTTTCAGCGCCGTCTCCATTCCAAATATTACATCAAGGGGTTGCCAGAAGGGGGATGTGCCCTCTTCTGTTTGGGGGGTTTGAAGGGGGACGGAGTCCTCCTCATCGCCAAGAAAATTTTGGACTTGTGAGAGGCTTTAAATGACCCCAGGTCGATCATAAGATAACGTGTAACCAACGCTGAAAAGCCTTTGACTCTATCTCAATCCCTTGAGAAGTTGCAGCACTTTGAAATAAATTTTGATGGAAAAAATCGAGGCAAAAAAGTGATTTTTGGCAATTTTGAGATGTCCCCTCGTTGCCATGGTAACAGGAAATTTAAGACTGAGCATGTCGTTACAAAGGCAATGGTCCAGTCAACATTTGTGCCAAGTTTGATTAGTATTGAAGCATTTTTCATAGTTTCATAGCAGTTTGAACTTGTGAGAGGAGGCTTTTCAGTGAAAATGGCCATTTTTCACAATATGCTCATGGGGGAAAGGGTTAAGGACTGTCACTAGTTTTTCCCGAACAGAAATTAGAGTAACTCATTTGTGTGCAGGAGCGTTGTCATGCAGAAAATACAGGTGTTTTTCATTTTTTCTGAACACTACATTTTTATAAAACTTGGATGTGACAGAACCTCTAGGACAAAACTAACGTACAGTCATAAAATTAGAAAAACTACGACTTTCGTATTTTAGAAACAATTTTAATAATTTTTGAGCTCCCTCTGGTGGCCAAATGTTTGCAAATGGGGTAACCACCTGGCAGTTATTCGCCTAACTTTCCTAACTTTCAGTTGATTCTTCAGAATCGCATGAGTTGACCTTTTTGATATTCCTGCGATATGGGCTATATGTGTAAGTAAAAGACTTGCATTGTTAACAGTGATACGCTTGACTTGATGAATGTTCTTGTCAGTTAATATGGAGCGTTTTCTACCAGAATTACAGACATCATTATTGACTCGTGCCCGTTTTGAATTTATGCATGTACTGTAAAGGACAAGTTACCGTCCACGCCCCAGCTCTGGCTTTAGCAGAATTCAACATTTAACATGAACTGGTAAAATTTTGAAACATTCGCAGATGTGTTCAATTGGCAATTAGTATTGAACTTTTAATGTGACACGTTAGTGCCATATTATAAAAAGCGGCATATGGTCCCCAAGTAAAACAATGCGTTTGCCCTAAACGAGAAAACAATGGACGAAAACAATAAAATGAGAATTTGAAAGGAAATTAGATGTTTCGAAGATTGCATATCACAAATTACCTGTCAAAGTCAAAATTAAAAGACAGGCAACATATTCATGAGATATTTTACAGTATTCACGTGGGAGTTCTGGAACTACCCAAATTGAAAAAGGTCGGATAGAAGAAACTTTAAATACCACAAACATGTACACATAGCAATTATGTCGTGCCGAACGATCTTCAAGGATCGAAAAGATAACATCTTTGATTATATCACCTGTGTGACTTTTAAGTCCTCCACATGGTACAAATAATACCGATATGGCAATACAATGGAAAAAACGGAATCCCTAAAAAACGCCCAAAACGACTCGGTTCGATTGTGCCTGTTCATGGACGGTATTGTAAAGTGCAAGTTGCCGCCTACGCTCCCTAGCACCTGCTTAAGTAAAATTCAACATTTAACATGAACTGGTAAAATTTTGAAGTTATAAACATCCGCAGATGTGTTCATATGGCGATTATCATGGAACCTTCAATGTGATACATAGTGTCACTCCATGAAAAGCG